GCTTCCTGCAAAGCCTGCACCCCAGGGAGAGTGGACCTGGCTTCAGCACCATTCAGAGATGGTGAAATGTCCTGAGGGGACACCTTAAGGGGCTTCTCTGATACAYCTGTCCTCAGCACATCCCAAAGTGCCTCTGAAAGCGCCTCTCGTGCATCATCCTGTCTCACGCTGCAGACACTGCTCAGGTGTAACTTTGCAGTTATTGAAGCCCAGCTCTATCTCAGGAGGAAGCAGTGCTGCTGCTCTCCCAGAGCCAGACTGGGACACCAAAAGTGGTGCTTTCCACAGCCAAGGCAGCCCCACTGGCAGAAAGATGTGAGAGGAATGGTTATGGTGCCCTATACAATCATAGGAGCTGTTTCCCAGATAGAATATGGATAGGGACAAAGGCTCTCAGAGCTGGTGTTCTCTCCCCTGCCCTTCCGCAATTGTGGTTTACATCTCTTGGCAGAGATTTYCCCTCCAGTGGTGCAGTGATTTCCCCATTCCCCAGCAAGCAGAGCTTCAAAATCCCTCTTCTGGAGACTGGAGGGTCCCCATGTGCTGGAGGAGCCCTTCACTGGGAGATGGGGGCTGTAGATGAGACCTCCTTCCCCTTTTATTCCCCTCCTGTGTGTGTTTCCTGCGTGCTGCCCCTCTCCAGCCCCTCAGCAGGGATGGAGCCCGTGGAGAGGCTGCTGTGGGGTTTGGCTGTGCCAGGAGGTGAGCAGGGGAGGGCATTTCTGTGTGGTGCCTGCATCTGGCAGGAGGATTGGGGCAAGCGAGCGGGCTGGGAGCGTATCCGTGCCTGCCACGGAGCTCCTCTCCCACCGGTGAGCCTGCTGAATGAGATGTGYTCAATTAGCAGCCCGGGAGGATTGAGGAAACAGGATTAGTCAGGTTCTGGCTGTGTCCCAGGGGCCAGTGAGTCACCCCACCTTTCCCTCCTCCCCACCCCGTGTGCTCCAGCACGGCTGAAGTTTTCTCCTGGGCAGGTTTAGCTGTGCAGAGATTTCAGGTGGAGGAGGGTGGAAAACACCAGAGAGCTGAGCTCCAGGGATGGCTTAGCAGAGCTGTGCCTGAGGCGAGGCAGGAGTTTATTTTGCTGCCTGTGTGGACACAGGGATGTGAAGAGTGGAACAGAGGTGACTGAGGAGGGTGAGCCTGGGTCTGAATGCTGCCACCACCAGCCAGGAGTGGCTTTGTCACCAGCAGGGAAAGTAGAAGTAAAAGTAGYGAGACCATCTGCCCTTTTGTGGGAGTTTATCGAGAGCAGAGCTGTGACATGTGGCTTCACTCGCACCTCTGAGGACAATGAGGGGAAGAGGAGGGGCTGCAGAGTGAACCCATCTGTCTCCCTGCTGTCTGACAAGGCAGCTCACAGACACATGGGATAAGTGCTGGCAAAATGAGCAGAGGAAATTYGTCTCCTCGAGCGTAATAGGCTGTTGATCTGAAAAAAACAGATTGAATAGCTTTTCTATCACCCTTTTGTTTGGGGGTGTTGTTCGCCTGGTTTTTCAGCTGGATTTCCCTTTGATTTCTCTCGAACAAGATAGAAAATGGGCTGTGCATGGGCAGCAGGACTGCTGGGAAATGAGCTGCCTTATCTCTGTGCCCTCCTCACGGCTCCTCTGGACAGCCCTTGCATCACTCCGGGCTCTCCATCCCTGCACGAGTGCTGTGCCCTTCCCTACTTAGCAATTCCCTTTATTCAAGGCTCTGCTGCTGGTAACCAAGGCACTGAGACAGGAGATCACTTAATAAATACAGAGAGCAGAGAGACAAAGAGGTGTAAAKCTGAGCACAAACCACAATGTCCATGGACTCCCTGACTGAACAAAGCCAGCTCTGAAAAGGTTGGGGAAAGGAYGTTTGGAGTCTGTCACACCACAGAGGTTGTTTGGCTCCTGGAAGGCCTTACCCTACTCCCCTTAAGGTAGGGTGACAGCTTTGAAGGCTTTGAGGCAAAGATTTGCTCCAAATGAGAGGATTTTGTTCATCTTGCCCTGTGCTTTGGGGTGATTTTGGGAAGCTAACAAAAAAAAAAATGTGCTGGCTGTGTTCTTTGCTGGTTTGCTTTCTATCAGAGCCTCTCTTCCCAGCCACTCAACACACACAGATGTGCACATCCTTCTCTTCCTAAGGTGTATTTGTCACACTGTTATGGATGCACATGGAAAGGGAAGCACCCCACAGACAATATTCAAACATTTGGACGAGAAAACCCCTTTGGGACAGGCAGGAGGAGCACRAGGGAATGGAAACCATGAGAGTGGYRGGAAGGGGCACGTGCCTCYACTGGGGCCCTGGCTAGATGGGAAGCCTTGTCCCTGRTGTAAGGACCAGTCTCTCCAGTGCTTTTCCACCTCACACAGATGAGATCTAACAGGACTTCGAGCTGGGAAGGTGCCCATGTTGTGCTCAGTGTTGGACTGATGTGTTGACTTCAGCATGATGAGATCTGGGGATGGTCTGYCCCACAAAAACCCTTTTGGGCACTGCACCAGCTGGTGCTGGTCTCCCTTCTTGGTCAGCCCATGGTGCCCCTGTGGTTTTTAGAATCGTGGTTATCCCACTTGCCCCTGTGGTTTTTAGCATTATAGTTAGCCCACTTGCCCCTGTGGTTTTTAGCATCTTGGTTAGCCCACTTGCCCCTGTGGTTTTTAGCCCATGGCTTGGCCACACCGGGTCAGACTGACTCACTCCAGATGGGAAGAGACTCGTTCAACCATAAACACCTTTACTGGGTATTCTGTTCAACCATAAACACCTTTACTGGGTAAGCAAGATAATATCTTCAAACGTGCTGCTCTCCCAGAGAGCCCTGATAACTCGGCCTGTTTTCACTTCTCATGCTTTCCTTATGGCTGGCACTAGAGGAAGAAACACCCACCCAGTCATTACMACCTCCCTTCCCAGAAAATGTGCCAGTTCTTCCCTTCCCTTCCTCATGGGAGAAAGGTAACAATAGCTTCTTTTGTGCCAAGGGCAAGTCTGGCTGGCACAGCACACATCCTCCTCGACCTTCGCTCTGTCAGGGAGAGTACTGACCAAAGAGCAAAGCAGCTCCATGAAAAACAGCAGGTGAAAACTCCTGGCAGTTAAACGGGGCAAAGATTTCCCGAGCCATAAAGCTTGAAAGTTCCGCAGTTGTTTGGCTTTGTTGGCCGGGGAAACACAGGCAAAAAAACCCTCGAGTTACCCTCAGTCACGGYGTGGATGTGCTGCTTTTGACAGAGGCTGGAAGAAAACGCAGAGAGAGCCGTGCTGAGGTTTGCTGAGTGACTCAGAAAGCAGCAGTGCTGCAGCTGATGGTGTCAAAGGTGCTGCTGCTGCACACCTGACTGCTTTGATCGCCAGAGGTGAGCGAATGGCTGSGTGTTCTCTGCAGGCTGAAGTGTTGGCTGCACATAAAAACACTCACAAGGTGCGCCTGTAAGCTCGTGTGTGTGGCTGAGAASATCCCGTGCGGGTGACGCCGTTTTGTGTGGAGCTGAGGGAGGGTGAATTTTCTCTTTGGGCCGTGTTGTGGGTGGCTGGTGGCGTGAAACACGAGCGCGCTAGAACAAATTCCTTTGGACTGTTTGATGTTTTTAATTCTTTAAATTAAATCCGTCTACAGTAACGGTCCCTCCGTGTCTGACAAAGTATGGAACAATGCCTGCGCGGTCCCCGCGCAGCCCGGCACAGGCTGCCGGTGTAATCCCCGCTTTGAGCTGATCTCCGCTGTCTTTTCTCTCCTTCATAATGAGCCRCGTTATTTCCTAACCTCCGACTGTTAAAGCCTCATATACAACACGCAGACATTTAATTTTCCCTCTTTTGACTTTGTGTAAAGCGTTTGTTATTTTTTGAGGAAGCTGCGTAAGCAACTCGGCTTCCCTGAGCTGCTTTCTCACAGCTTCTCACTCCACGGATCTCTGCATATTGTGATTTTTTAGTCCTGTTTAAAACCCTCTGTCAGGGTTCCCCAATGGCCATGCAGACTGCGAGGCACAAGAGCAGCACGAAGAAGTAGCACTGTGAAAATCTGCTCATTGGCATGAAAAGCCACAAAGCTGGTGTTTGCAGCAGTAGTTTTGAGAATTCCTTGCAGTCCCTTGAAGCAGTGTGATTGTTATGTGCCTGATTTTGCTTGAGATGTTTAGAATTAGCATCAAAATGAGCCAGTTCTCGAAATGTTTTGGTTGCCAAACAATGCAGCCCACTGGAGGCAGACGGGGCCAGACTGAAAGGCTGAGCAACAGGGCTGGGTAAGACTTCTGTCCCCAAGATCCTTCTGCTCTGTGCTTCCAGGATATCAGCACAGCCAGTAAAGTCTGCAGATTACTTATTAAAAAAAAAATAAATTTATATGACATTGTGGTTCAAAGGTTCAAGTTTTGAATGAAGAAGCTCTGTGTGACAAGCTGCTTAGGAGCCCTGGTTGGGCCAAGAGGTGAGGAATCCTCAAGCAGTGTTGATAGAGGTTTTACTCTTCCAGGGTGAATATTCCCCCTGGAAATCCTCTTTTTGTCCTTTCTCTCTTTTCCATTCATCCCCTTTGGGGGGATCACGGTGGTGGCAGAGTCTTTTCCACAGAGGATGGAAAGCAGTAGCGTCTCACAGGCTGGGGGCAGAGCAGGGGCAGAGCAATGGAGAAGAGAGGCACCTGCACTCCTGCAGGTGGAATTTTGTAGTCCACAGGCTTCTCCAAAACCTGCCTGAAGCTGCTGCTCCTCCACCAGCTCACAGACCCAAAGGCTGAGCACCCTTGTGAACAGCCACAGTCACCGGCAGCGAGCGCGGGGAAAGGTCCTCCAGGAACTGAGTCTGCTGGGTGGATTCTGGCGCCAGCTTCAGGCACACRCTGGCCTCTGTCATGCTGTTGTTGTTGGCAGAGCTGCTGTTGCGGCAGGGCTCTTTGGCAGGGCGAATGGCCACCAGGAACTGGCGCTTGAAGGTCTCGCTGAGGGCGATGTAGAGGAAGGGGTTGAGGCAGCTGTTGGCGTAGCCCAAGCTGATGGCGAAGTTGTAGGCGTAGAAGAAGGCCATGGACGGGGTGTCAATGCCCAGGTGGACCAGCTGGAGGATGTAGAAGGGAGCCCAGCAAATGAAGAAGGCGGAGCAGATGGCCACTGCCATGCGTGTGACCTTCTTTGTCCGCACCCGGACACTCCTCTGGGGCAGAGGCACCACGGTGGTGGCCATGTGCTGGAGGATCTTGAAATAAACCACGCAGATGATGAGCAAGGGCACGGCGAAGGCCAGCATGAACTGGTAGAGCGTGAACCAGTAGATGTCGGTCTCGGGGTTGGGCAGCAGGAGAGCGCAGCGCACCGTGCCATCCTCCAGCGGCATGAGGCCAGCATACATCCACACGGGAATGATGGTCAGGAAGGACAGCAGCCACACCAGGCAGATGACCAGAGCTGCCACGCACGGCGTGCGGACGTAGGTGGATTTGAGGGGGTAGACGGTGGCCAGGTAGCGGTCCAGCGTCATCACCGTCAGGATGTTGGTGCTGGTGATCTGGCTGTTGGTGTCCAGGGCGGTGATGATGGTGCACAGGGGAGCCCCAAAGTACCACGAGCCATTGCCCAGGAGCTGGTGGATGAGGAAGGGCATGCCCAAGAGGAAGAGGAGGTCCACGATGGAGAGGTTGAAGATGAAAATATCAGGCACGGTCTGTTTGCATCTGAGCTTCTTCTTCTTGACAATGGTGTAGATGACAATGAGGTTCCCCACGATGCCCAGGAAGCAGATGATGCTGAAGAGGCTGGGCATGATCACGTTGGTGTGTGGTGCTGGCTTCTCTGCTGCTGCCAAAACAAACCAGAGCAGTGAGTGCAGCCCAGAGACAGCATCTCTGCAGCTCTGTGTGCTCATTCTGGCCTGCAGATGGACCCAACCCTGTCAAAGACAGCTTGGAATGGTTTTTAGTACCCCGTGCAGTGCTTGGAGAGGCTTAGCTGGGGCTTTGACCCTTCCTTCTCCATCTCTCAGTACATGCACACACCACCCAAACCTGGCCATGTGTGGGCATCTTTCCTCAGCTCTCCTGATGCACTTCTGTCCTGCTCTGCAACTCCCCAACCCTTTTTTTAGGGACTAATATCAGGCTGGCATCCCTCTGCATTCACCAGCACCTGACTGAGTTGAGARGAACTTTTATTCCAGGGAGTGAAATGTTTTTAGCCATTTTTGAGGGGAGTGGGTGAAGCAGCTGGTGCTTCACACACCAGAGAAGTAAGACCTTTCTGTAGGTGCCCAAATCTGGATAAAGTCAATGTTCAATTTGCTGTCAGAATGTTCCAGATCAGCTGTTGGGCAGTTTATCTGTTGCACAGCCTAAGAGACAGAGTTCATTGACCRTGCAGGCAGATAAGCTTATCTGTATGGTGAGATCTGGGACTGCACCCTGGCTGTGCCCCAGTTTTCTTGTCAAGGTTAGGCCAGAAAACGTCCTCCTTTCCATCTTCCTTCCCTACCTCTCTCCTTTTCTCTAGTTTATTTCCTGGAAAGAAATCCAAGTGTGTGGCCAGCCAGGGATTTGGGAGTGCTTCAGAGGGACCCTTCAACATATCCTCATTCCAGAGGGAGAAAAACAGCTCAAAGCTGCTGTCTTGGAGCTCTGGATGTGGGTGRACTTCCAAGGCAAAATTCTTGCCTGATAACACTTAGCCTATCCACACCACACTTGACTGTTGCTCTTTGTGGTGGGAGGCCCAAACATAACCAAATTCCCTTGGCCTTGTCCCTCACCTGGGTGTAAAATCACATTTTGAAGCCACAAGCTCCTGGGCACAGGAGGTGGTGTCGAAGGCAGTGCTGGTGGTGCTCCAGCAGTGTGCTGGAGTCTGAAATAGCCCTTCTTAGCTGAGGCAAATCTCATTTCATCATTACTCCTCTCCTACGGGACCYGGCAGGGTTTTTTCTAGGAAAATGTTTTGTGTGAGTTATTTATGCGGATGTTACAAGGACTGTGCGTGACAGCCTCGGCTGCCTTTCATTGAATTGCAGATGATTCAATGCGCTGCTAATTGGAAATGCTTTCAGTCACTGAACTGTTCCATCTCCTTAGCAGCACAAGTGGGGAAGCCTCCTCCAGCAGAACCTAGGGAAATCTTGAAAATGAGATTAAGTGGAATAACAGATACTCACAGGTGCAGTCTTTGCCAAAGCGGTGTCTGRTTGCTGAGGTGGTATTTGCTGATTTTGACCTCTGGAATTCTTGAGTACAAACTTCTCCACATTTACTCTGGTGTGACAGAGAAGTTTGACAGAATTGGCAAGATAACTGGGGCTACGCTGCTGGCCCGTGGCTGGAAAAGTGTGTGCCATATTTCAGTGCTCATAGAAGGGGCCGTGATGAGCTGCCACTGGCTCAGTCCTTCTGGCATCAGGAAGCAGCCAGCTTAGGCATAAACAAGTCCAAGGCCAATGCCAGAGCCCAATAAAGCAGTTGCTGCAGCATTTTATTGGGAAGCTGCTCTGCAGGTGTCAGAAAGCAGCCAGTGAGGCACGGGAGAACTGACAGGGGGCTGAAGGTGGAAGCCTTGGCTGGTAAGAAAAAAAAAAGCCTTTTCCAGACTATTTGTGAGGGTTTAAGTGGTCCCTGTTCCTCCTGGTGACTTCTTTATGCAACGAAATGTCCCCTGTTGTGTGATTTTTAGTAGATAACATACAGCCATCAGCATCCTGTTGAAACCTGGCACTCTTCAGCATCCAACCTGTGCATCCCTTGAGCATCCAAACAGATCTCACGCCTCCTTAATGCTGGAAGATGGAGGACTAGAAACTGGAAGGTGATGACTCTGGTCCTGCTGTTCTGCATGTAGCTGTTATGAGTTCTGATCTCCTTTCTTTTCACCACGAACTTTATGAGTGTGATGGGAATGGATTGTATGAGTGAAAGACAAATGCCACCATAAATGGATAGCTGGAAATTGGGACAAAATGCCCTTCTTTCTTGCAGTATGATCAATACAGTGCTTGTGGTGATACTATAAAATTTGGAATGAGCTCAGTTGGCCTCAAGGCAGGATGTGTGCACGCCCCTTGTGTGAGAGCTGGTCTGTGCAGTGCTGTAGCATCTGTCCTGCTGGTGATGTCTGTACAAGCAGGAMCTTCAAGAATCATCAGCTGCATTAATTTGAAGCGTAGTTTGTGTGTGTTTTAAAGGCTGGAGTCAGAAGAGCACGTCTATCAAACACTCAAAAGTTACCTCTTTTTCTAAAGTCTCTTTCATCTTGAGACATCATTGAATCTGAATTTTCAGTGCTGCTTTTGTGCATATCCAAGTGAATAGATTTTGTATTGAAGGAGCTACTTCAGGCATTGATTTGTCCTTTCTTGTAGGTCTGTGGCTGCCCTGCTGCTTTTCTTAAAGTCCCAGAGGGGCTGCACTATGTGAACTGAATGAGGGCTGGGCTAATCTTTTTTTCTCTAAGGTGATTGTCATTCTAAGCCATACCCAGATACTTAAGAGACTTCATATTCACTGCATTTCAAAAGGAAGTATCTTTCAGGTACTTTTGGTACCTCAAGGCACACTTTTGGTTTCTAAAGGACCTCGTATAAACCACCTTCTGCTGAAGAGTTTCACCAACTCGTGTCATTGACAACTGGCCTGCCTGACCCTAAGCTATTGATTTGGGAACAGAATAGGGTGGAGAAAACGGGCGACTGGTGAGGATGTCTGCATCCCTCTCCAAGCCAGCGCTATCTCATTTTCTCTGCGCTCCCCTCCCTGTCTAGCCGGGCTGGTTCCTCCCTTGCTGGCAGCCAACAGGTAGCAGAGGCTCCGAGCCGCCGTGGCCAGCGGCGGGGTCGGGCTCTGTTCCTGTGTCCGGGACGGGTCCCGCAGCCCCGGGGCACTCAGCCCGTCCCTCCTGCCCGGCGCTGTCCGGCCCCGGGTGCTGAAGGCGGCCCGGCCCGGGTGGGGTGCGGGGGTCCCCCATCACCCCGGCAGCGCAGCCCCGCTCACCTGAGCCGTTCCGAGCCTCCGGCGCCGAGAAGTTGCGGGAAGAGTTGCCGGGGGCCATGGTAGCAAGTGCCGGGACCCGAGATCGGGAAAGTTGGGCAAGTTCCGTCGGCGGGATGTGCCGGGCACCCCGCGCTGTCCCGGCGGCGTGCGGGGGGAAGGAGCGCTCCCGCAGCCTGCGAGAGGCGGCCGAGGCTCGGCTGTGCTCGGTTCCGCTCTCCTSTCCAGCCCCGCCGAGCCCGGAGCGGGTTCTGACATCGAGCAGCAGCTGACTCGGGCAGACACAGCGGGTGCGAGCATCCCCCGCCGCCGCCGGGGGGAGGGAGCGGAGCGGGGCTGGCAGGGGGTGGGCAGTGCCCTGCCCATCACAGCCCAGCGATGGACAGACAGATGGACAGATGGATGGACGGACAGATGGATGGACGGATGGACAGACAGGATCCACGCCCTCCCGCACACCACCCGCCTGCGTTCACCCGCATCGGCACGAGCAGCAGATTTTTGCCTTTGGAGAAGCTCTGATCTGCCTTCAGTGTGTATTTTTCTCTTTACAGACACATGCACTTTTCATCCCCGGGTCATAGGCACAGYCCCAGTGGAGCTGAGGGATGTTAAGGAAGCAAATTACCACTGCAAATTCTGTTGCTTTGACCCTCTGACCCCTCTGAGCTCAATTCCAGCCTAACACACTTCACTTGAAATTAATTCTCTGCTGTTTTCTGCTGCTCCGCTTTTTCCACAACTCATTTCCTTCCTATCTCCAGGAATCAGCTCCATTGCTAGCACACATTTTGTCTTCTATTTGCCTTAAAAATGCTCGGCAGGGACTCCCTTGGGTTTGAGAAGCTGTTTTACTCTTTTTCTTTGCCTTGCCAGAGCAGTAGCCTGCTCTTTCCTGTGGCTTCGAGCTGATGATTTTGTTGTGCTTCCTGGCCACTGTTTATRCACAAGATGGGTTTCTCCATTACAGCTTGATAAATCACTTGTTACCAGGGCAAACGGATCGTTCTGTACCTCGGAGCACTTCCTGCACTGAAAAAAACCCCATGATATCATGTCAGAAGCYTGTGAGAAAACCAGCAGCAACAGGCAGGTTTCTCTGTGGCAGAGCCCAGTGTAGAGGATTGGGTTTGCTTTATAAAAACTACCTATGCCTGTCTGGAAATCTCGCTTGCTTCTCTTCCTTGCAAAGGCTGGCATCAACCATAGGAGGCATTTTTTGGAGCTTCATAATTCATAGGAATCGTTCTGTAGCAGTAAAAAGGAGGCCCAGCTCCACAGAGCAGCAATCCCAGCATGGGCTGTCAGCCAGATTGGGCAGCAGCACTTTCAGTGTGGGCCGTTTTATTGTAACCCAAAGGAGTTTGTCATTATTAGGTTGTCCTCTAGTGGACCAGCAGCAGACAGAAACCTGGAGCACATTTTGCCCAGGCATTGCAGCTCTGAGAAATCAGAGACAGGCTGAGGCCAGTTTATCTGCTTTGCTGTGAGGATTTTATTGAGTCTCTGGAATTGCCTCAGTCTGTGATTTGCCTGTGAGTTCATTTCTGTGGCAGGTATCTGTGGTACCTTAGTTTTGAACATGCACTGCTTGCAAAAAAATGGTGTTTCACAGTCACTATTTTCTTAGAAGTCTTCTTTTTTTCCTTCACATCTTGGCTGAATGYGGATGTTTACCTGTATGGGGTCACTGCTGCAAAGCAAGCAGGGGTTTGTGTGTGGGGTGATGGATTGCTTTTGAACAGGGTTTTGTCCTCTGCAGTGAGTGCCTTCAGGTAATTGAGCTTTATCCAGGCTTAAAGTATGGATTATGAGTGTTTGCATGAGAAACTGGTAGGCAGTTGCTATCCCAAACATTTTCCCTGCACAGACAAGCTCCTACTCTCTTTCCTTGGAGAGGRACAAGCTATCTTACAGCTTTCAGGGAAAGAATCTGACATTTAAATATAGCAGCTTTTCCAAAGCACAACTTTATTTTTYCATTTGCAGTCTCAACTGTTGCTTTTCACTTAGGAACACGAGGAATCTGTAATTCCTTCTTCTCAGCTGTAGAGGCACAAAACAGCAGCCCTGTCCCTGATTCATGCGTGTCACAGCTGACATGACAAAGCCATGCTCAGCGTCTGAGA